TATATATATATATTTCAAATTGTGGCAATGGCAAGAATCTATTGTTTCAAAATATTTTCAACTGGCTCAGATAAATTAGCTCTGAGTACCTATTGTTTATTCAGAACTTAGTGAAGATGTATATTGGTCCCAACTCCTGCCCCATCGGAACAGCAAAGCACTGGGCCAAGGTCATTTGTACTTTTCTGCATATGATGCTCATGTTGGTCATATCATATTAATATGATCAGAAGAAAAGCATTAGGGAAGAAAGCCCAGCCCCATCTATATAATCTTTCTGTGAAATGTATACACCTCCAGGCTTTGCTTACTTTTGGAAGAGACTTTTCCATGCATGCTGAGCTCCTTCATCAGTGGCCTTTTACAACCTCATGTAGATATGGTGACCATCTTCATTCCTCTGTATAAATAGGGGTGGAACCCCAACTGAGTCATACTCAGAAGGAGCCAAAAGATGTCTTTGGTGCCTAGCAGTCCCTCCCTCATGGTGAGAAAGTCTCATGTATATTAAAAGTATAATACAATCTCTGAAGGGAGAAAGATTTGCAAAGTATAGAGGCATCTTCAGTCAAGAACCTACAGGATCAAGTGAGTTTGCACATGTCCACAGCCATTCTAGTAACTCCAGTGGAATGGGTTGTATGAAGCTCCAAGGTCTGGCACAAGTATCTCTCCATCTTTGGTTTTTGTAGGTTCATCTGCTTGTCACTTTCAGTACAATGAACACTGCCTCATGTCAAGTGTATTAGGTTACTATAAATTCTCTTACCTCTTAGTAGTTTTGATTTAGCTACAATTTTTAAGTCTACTTGGAGTAGTATGCTAGAATAAAGCTCCAAAAATGTACCATGAGATATTTTACAGTATTATTCTCATTATGGTGAGAGTGATTTAAAGATTAAGGAAGTACATGTTTCATTTGCACATTCTTTTTGTGACATTATTTTCAGAATAAACTGGCCCAAGATTCTGCTTGATCTTTGGTTCCTTTTAAGTGATGCTCATTGGCAATGACCAGAATCAAATGATGTTCCCAAAGCTACTTCTTGCAGGGACTTGTCTCCCACTAAAGGACACAAGAGCAGACTCATAGAATTAGCATAATCCCACTGGACTTGCTATCTGTGCTCCTGGCACATAAAGCTGAGACGTGAACCAGGACCCCTCAGGGCCTTTTTCCATAAGTCCCTTGTAGAAACTTGTGGTGTTTGAGCAACAGCTCGACTCAGTGAGCCAGTGAGAGGCTCTCTCTGAATTGGCCACACTAGGAACTGTGCTCCAATGGTCTCAGCTGGGAGTTGCTCTGGTATAGTTAACTAATGACATTTCTATAGCAAATGCCATGTGCTAAAGGAACTCAGAGCCATTAACCCTGAAAGACGGGATTCCAGGGCAGGCTGTATCCTCTGTCCTCTGAGGAACTAGTCATTTGCTCCTCTGCTGTGTTAGCAAAATTCACAGTGCAGAGTTTGGGTAATTTTCTTTTGATCCCTGAAGGCTTAAGATAATTATTTTTCACAGCCACATTAATGGTTATGATTAGCATCTTGATGGGTTTTCATACCTATCTGAGTGATTCAGGGAGTTTAGGTAGTTGCTATAAGTGCACATTTATCTAGGAGGAATGGGTAACCACTTTTATTCAGGAATAATTCACTGAAATGAATTGTCAATCTTCTCTCAAGCTATAGATAAGGATGAGTAAAATCTTATCAGAGATCAGCAAAAAGGTATCCTTTTAATACACTAACTTTGATGGTTAAAACATTTTTTGCTATTAGTAAAAAAAAAAAAACATGGTTTCATCTCACCCGACTAGAGTCTTTCTGTTCTTTAAACCTGCCATAGGTTCCTAGAGAGATAACTGGCTTAGGCATGTGGCATCAGGTGAGTCAGGCAGAGCAATTTATATTTTTTATTTCCTAAATTGCTGGCAAGCATGTCCATGTTGACCTGAATTTGACAAACTTTTCTATCACCATTTTCCTTTAAACTTGCCAGATTTTTCATTAATGACAGGGCTGGAAAAGTTTACATGTTCCTCCTATAATCCCAGACAATCAGGGTCAGTACAGGAGAAATTAAAGCTCATCAAATTCCGATTCTGCAGTAAGCTCGTGATGACCCTTGGGAAACGCCTACTGATAGCTACTTTCATGAGCCATTTGTTCTCTTGGCTGCACAACAGCTGAGTTCATTTGAAGTATATTTTTGTCTCTATCTTGAACAGTGGAGTCTACCCCTAAGGTTAAGTGATCAGTGATCACCTCTACTCTTTCTCACATAGCTCGATGGATGGCCAAGAGGTGAAACAGAGTCCATAACAAGGCAACACTAACCAGACAGACAGTGGGACAACAGACATGCAGGACAGCTAGGCTGGTGTTCTTGCTTCCAAAGCATTTTCCTCACACACTTCTGCTCATACTCATCAGACGGGCAGACTGGACTTAAGTACTTCTGCTAGTAGGAAGCCTTTTTTTGTAACAGCACTATTTTGAAAGTAGCTATTCAACAAAACAATCTTGATTTTAATACAACAAATTAGTTATCAACAATTTAAGTGAGCATATCCTGTCACCCTCAGCACATTTGATATAGACTTGCTGTCTATAGATGGACATAACAATATCCACAGCTATACTTTTCTAAACACACACACACACACACACATACACACACACACACATACACACACACACACACACACACACACACACACATGCTGCTACAGGGCCCTTCTTAATAGTATTCTCATGTCATATCCCTTAATTATCTGTCACTGGGCTTCTTTATGTGGAGAGTCAGAGTGCCATCTGTAGAGTTTACTGGATTTGTCTCTGTCAAAACTGAAAAAGCCACAAAACTTGTGGTGGTTCAGTATTTTATATCTGAGGAAAGACCCTGTGTTCAGACCAGGAGCTCATGGCCATAAACACAAAGTGAAGGGGCCTACCACCCAGGTCCAACAGAGTGTGGGGAATTTTCCTGTCACTGTTTCTGATACTATAAGACCCAAAGAATTTTGCTTATTTAAATAAGTGTTCATATAACTTGGATTCTATTTTTTTTTTGTAAAGCATAGATTTTCCCCATAGAAATTCAATAAATAAAGGACTTAGCCACTGAATCAAGGAAGCAGAACTCCAGTTTTTAACCTTCCAGTTGGATCGGGCGAGTCCCAACCCATGTCAGTTTGTACTGCAAATGGTCTTCCAGGAAGCAGGGGGCATAATGACCCTGCGGCAGGTCCAAGACAGACTGTCTTTCTGGTCAGTGATGGCCTCTGTGTGTCATTGAATGAGGCTGGAGCTGTAGCTGAATCCATAACTGCTGGACCGTGACAGCGGTGGCTGGGCCTCTTCACTCTGTTCTGGAGCATAGCTGGGAAATGTCTGTGCTCGGGACATCTTTGACGAACCAAATCCATGACCTGGAAAGGAAGCAAGGACAGCTGTACTAAGATACAGTCAGAAGAAACAGAAGGGCATATTTAAAAAAGAAACAAATAAACGCAGCAGAAGACTTCAAGTCCTCAACACAGAGCATGTTGTAAGGAAGCTGACAAGAATTCGGCTTTGGTATCTTGCTTTTTTTTTTTTTTATCCAATACCAGTGCTTGACCCTAGGCTTCTCAAATGATGGACAAAGGATTTATCCCAGTCTTTATTTTGAGACAGGGTCTCAGTAAGTTTCCAAGGCAAACCTTGAGCTTCTGAACCTCCCTCCTCACCCTCCCAAGTAGCTTTGATTATAGGTCTATACCATGATGCTTGGCTTAGTGCCTTGATCTTTGATGGGTTGGAAAAACATATTCAGGCATTGATATTTCTCTCAAATGTGTCTTTCCTAGAATTCTGGATTCCGAGAACTATGTTAACTTTTTTTTTTAAATAAATAAAATATTTAAAAAAAATTTTTTTTACAATTAAAGTTACAGTTTTAACAATATGCAAAATATTACAGTAATTCAGATTTTTTGGCATAATGATTACAGATTTGATAAATACATTTTGTATCTCATAATAGCGATGAGGATTATACAAAAGCTATTAAAACAATTATGAGAATAAATTCTATTGTCACTTAAGTATCTAAAGCTATTTTCCTTTGCATTCTTCCAGAATGATTTGTTCTTATTCTTTCTCTTAATTGCTCTAATATTTTTTTTTTACTTTACAGCACAACTTTTTTTTTCATACAGAAGAATTCATTCCAAAGCAATTGACATTGAGACGTTTTCA